GGAAAGGGAGGAAAGGGAGGAAAGTGGGGGGGTCTGAAAGCTGTAGCTGCGTCTTTGTGCCTGCGGGGCTGCTAGCTGACATATTGGTAGCCTGTCGGGTGCTACAATGGCAAAAAGGGATCAATCGATATGTTTTGTGATTGATTTTGATGTGCTGGTTTAACACCTTTTTTTTTGTTTTTTTTATTATCTGTCTGTGATTCAGAGAGTGTAAGAAGTAGCAGTGCCATCTGCGTTACTGGTAAAGGTGTCTTGTATTTGATGTTAAATTAAATGTTGTATTTATGTCAGTAAAGATTTGATTTATTTGATTTATTATCACTTTATTGTGCAGTTTTTAATGTGCAGAATACATAATAATATGTTCACTTAGATATGCATGACACTAATAAACCAAAAACAAACAACAAAACATGTTGTAGTCTTAAATAAAAGCAGTAATAATCTTAATAATAGTGATACTAAGGGACCCCTTTTCTATTACTGACATATTTTCTGTATATTTTCTGTATATTTCATATTGTGTGCGATGTAGAACAATAACTGGACTAACTACAGGAAGTGATTTGGCTGAATATTGCATCCGAAATTAGTTTTCCTGAACTTTTTAGACAATTCTCCGTCTGTATTATGTGTTTGTTTTGGTTTTTTGACAATCATATGTACTTAATATGCTTAGTTTTTTTTACAAATTGGTGCTTGGTCATTGTTCTGTTAGTTCTTTGGTTGTTTTCACTTTATAGCTTGTGTTCAGGTCTTCACTCAGCTTACGCTATGAGTTTTTTTAACATTCATATCTTACATAATAATGTGGAAATAACAGTTTAATTTAGCTTTCTACCCAGAAATGAATGAATGAATGAAATGGTCTGCTGTATGCTTTTGTGAAAAACCTTTCTGTCGCTGCCTCTTGGCCAGGTTGACATTGTAAATTAGAATTGGATCTCGATTACCGTATCTGGTTAAATAAAGGTAAAATAAGGTCTTTTTTTTTTTACAGGCCTTTTTTAAGGTGATGTCTTCAAATGTCTTGGTTGGTCCACAACCCAAAGATACTCAGTTTACTGTCGTGGAGGACGAAAGAAACCAGAAAACATGTCAGAAGCTGAAATCAGAGAATTCGGACGTTTTTTTCTGGAAAAATTACTTGATAGTTGGACAAATATTCGAGTATTCGTTACTTCGTCTAATTGTGCATTATCATGTAATCAATATGTGATTTCTGTGTTGCTCAGTGACGTTTATTACCATTTCTTTTTGTTCCAGTTTTTAGATATTGTGTACATATGACAGCCCGTCCTCAGGACCGTACAAGAACTCTATCCATGACCCACATCTCACTGGACACCTGCACTTCTTACTCCGGACGCGTGCTGCTGTTTCATGTGAGGCTGAAGACATAACACAGCTGCGGCGCAAGTAAATCAAACTGCAACTGTACGGGTACCTTGAGGCGCGTACTGGGTTCGTACTTCAGTGCCAAAGTAATGAAGTGTCTCGGGCGGGGAGAGCCCAGCCCTGAAAAGCAATGTCATCATCCAGCTTCTGTGCACCTCTGATGGGGCTGAGGAGTGAACCCACCGGCCAAGCAGATCTGTGGAGGAGAGGGAGGAGGCAGGTTTCCAGGAAACTTGTGTATTGATGGATAGCCATTTCCTCCTGTCAGCTCTCGTGGACTGATACCTGCACATTCCTCTCCGCGTTCAAGGTTAGACTTTGGAGAAGCTGATAAAACCAGGCCGCCGTCGAAAACCACACTATTACACCCAAAGAGAGAGTATGATGTGCGCCACGTGGGTTTCTTCTGCCAGTGACAGTTTTGTGAAATCATACTGGTGACTTGTGGATGCTGAGTTCTCTGTGTATATGAGGAGGAAAGCAGAAACACATAGATACTCGCAGTCACTACAGATGTGCACTACAGAAACCATGGTGGTCGTTGCATTGGCTCCTCAGCCCATCTCAGTCCACGACTACAGAAGCCTTTAGAGGCCGGGATCAGGAACACGCTCGCCAGCCAACACACTCATATGCAATGGAAGAAGACACTGATGTCACATCCCACACTGAGGTAACATTATTTCGCCTTTGGTCTTTGTAAACGCTTAATCTCATTCCAGTGTTTGTGTTTACAGCAACTTAACACCATTAAAGCAGCTACACTTTCTTTGTTGGTCAACAAAATGAAAGCTGCGTTGCCACTGTTTCCGTATTCATGTAGTCACCCTCGGGGATAAACGTTCCCTTCCTGTTCCACGCTGTTGTATAATGTTAAACAATTAAGATGTCATTTGTTTAAGCAGTCCTGTCACACGTGTTTAACTTTAACCTTAGGTCAATAGTGCTCCCTCAGCTTTAGTTGTAATCTGTAGTATGGCTCGCTCGGTATGGCGGCGTGTTGGCAGCTGACAGGGCATTTCCCTTATCCCCAGCTTGGTGTTCTAGTCGTAACATTACTTCTTGCTCCCTGGCCTCTAGCCTTGTCTATTGCTTCTTCTGTAAACAGTTGGATAAGTATGTCCTCTGCCTCGCTGGATGTAACGTAAGAGCCCGGAGACAGTTATCCTCAAAGGAAGCGAACTGGTTAATTTAGAATTTTTAGAATTCCTGACGAGTAAAAAAAAAAAAAAAAAACGGTGGTGACACATCTTTGAGATTTTTATTTGGCTTGTTGTAGTTCCTCATTTTTCACAAGTTACTTTTAGATTTTATGGATGCTGGACAGAATCACAGATTACCATTATGGTGGCAGATAGTATGTAGAATGAAAATAAACCGTTTCGGTGTGGACTGTGAACCAATATGATCATTCAAAGGAACTCATAAGGAACTTTTTAAAAGTTAAGTTAAATAATTGAACATATGGATTGTCAATCAATTCTAGCTGACAATGCTAAGAGCTTCTTCATCTCTCTTCCTCTGTGCTGCTTGTCACATTTTTATAAATCGATAAATCACAGCGTAATCTTAATGGGGGAAAGAAAAACCTATATATATATTACCACAAGCTTTTTTTTAATTTTAAAAAAAGTTTTTAAACAGTTTTCATATTTGGCACATATTGTATCACATATAAACTGATACGATATGTCTGCTCATATGTATTGATATATTGGTCGGGCTCTAAAGCCAGAACTACTAAAGAAATGGGAGGATAATGAAGGGTTAGGGTTAGGGTTAATGCATGATAATGAATTACCCGTCTTTAAAGCAGTGAAAGCCGCACTATTTTTGCATTGTGTTCATGTCTGAAACATCTGCTCTGTGTTGCTGCCCTCCTGTTAGGGCCTGAATGGTTTGTCACGTGAATGTAAACCATTAGAGGAAATCACCAATGGACACTCCAACCATAAGCCTGTGAGTTCAGCTAAAAATCACTTCTTATTGTAATTAGTTTTTCCTAGCAGCTTTATTTTACTTATTAATCACATATTTGAACTTTTTTTTTTCTTCTCAGGTCATGAACGGACTAATCATTAGTCACAATGTCAAAGACCACACCAACGGCAGCGCACAGCTCAGATCCCTGCCGGTAAGTACATTTAATTCTTACTATCTCACTTCAGCCAACATGGTCCTGCTTGAATGTAAGGTAATCTAATATTTAACAATTCAGATTTCAGCACTGAAGCAGAATGGCCTTCTGCAGACCCTGGCAGCTGGAGGGGACCAGCCTAAGCCTGCAGGTAATGCACAAATACTCTCACACGATCTATCTTTTGTCTCACATCCTCTTCCCTCAGGAATTTGTCAGTGCATCCTAGATACCAGGCAGCCGTTGCAGGTAAAGCCTCCCTCAGGAGTGCAGATTGCCAGCCTGGAGGAGGCGCACGGTCTCAGTGGCACTCTGAGTGATGCAGTTCTGTTAGACAGGAACGATTTGTGACTGAGAATGAACAGAATGGGTGTCAGCATTTGCACCATAGCCCCATCGGCTGAGTTGATACTCTTCTTGTGAAGTTTGTGTGTGTGACACAGTCGGTTGTATTCGTTTTCTCACCTTATTTTTTTTAAATTATCTGTGCAGAAGAAAATGTGGAGTTTGAAAAGGCCAGACAGGAGTGGGAGGCTCTGGAGAACGTCCAACCAGGTCAGCTTCTTCTTGCTGTTTCACCTGTTTGCACCAACATGGGGTTTCTCTGTGTCAGTTGCTGTTCTTAAAGATTCACTTTTTATGTAATGTCCCCCAGCTCTCACTGAGGACTCCAACCCGACCCTGATCATCTCCTTCAATGAAGCCCTGCAGTACTTCCAGACCACAGACCTCGGGGACTTGCTGGTAAGGAATGCTACATACCCAAAAATTCTCAAATAAAAGCTGATATTTCACTAATGCCCAACCCTTAAATAATAGCAGGGGAAGCAGCAAATGAAGGCTGGAAAACAAATCTACCTGCACTATAATGGCTTATATGGTAAATTAAGCATTGTCATTGCTATACCCACACTTTAAGTTGGATGATTTCACAGTAAAAGCTTCCCAGGGGTGGGAAGGAAACTGCTGGAAGGCTTTTTATTGTGAAACACGTGGAGGGAGTTGAGTTCGCAAATTAACACAGCAACGAAAAGCACATCAGAATAAAAATAAACATACTTACTATGCTTTTATCTGTGGTGAGAACTGCAGTCACAGGTGAACAGTAATGTGTAAATACACTAAAGAAACGTCATAGAATTATTACAGTAGATTGAAATTGCTATACTTGTCTACTCATTATGATATAAACTTGTGGCTCTAACTATAACTTTAAAGCAGGTGTTGTGTTTTTGCCCCTGACCCCCATCTGCAGAAGAACATCCAGCCAACCATTCGCAGGACAGGTCTGGCCGCGATCACACACTTCCTCTTCGGACCTCCACGGCTGCACAGGGAACTCCTGGAGGAGAGGGATCTGGTCTTTGCCATCGCACAGTGTGAGTGTGTGTTTGCTGGGCCTGTTTGTGTAATCTTCCCGCCAGGTGTAAAACCACAGATTTTCACTTTTACATATTTGTGTGTTTTTTTTCATAGGCCATGTGGACAACAGCCAACCGGTTCACATGCGTGTCCTCCAGACCATTTATAAGAGGCTGATTGGCAGCAGGCTGGACTGTCCTCGCTACGGAGCGCACTGGGAAAACATCGGCTTTCAGGGTACGACACCTTCGCTATAAATACAGTGATTCATACCAGAATTAATCTTGCTGCTGAATAACTGCTCTATGTCGCACTAGAGCACCAGCATCTCAGACCAAAACAATGAGCCTTACGGCCGACCAGACTCCATTGAAGAAAACTGTAATTTTACTTAACAGATTATTGTAAAACTGGACTGAAATAAAATAAAACTCACTAAAATCGCCTTTGTTACTTCTTCCAACCATCCCCAACACTGGTTTGGACAAAAATGAATCCTTAATTTTACAGAGTTAGATGAGAAAATAACCGCAAAATGGGTTGTTTAACCAGAAACAGCCATAATATCGCTATCACTCGCCACCAGGCTTCATTACAGTATAAAATGTTTCTTTAAATAAACAAATGAATGAATTAATAGAAAGAAATGGTTCAGAGGCCTCTGTGTGATTATTGACCATATTCACACCAAACAAGGAAACACAATCATTATGATTATAGGCTGAAATGTAATGATTGGTTTGATTTCTGTACTGCAGGTACAGACCCAGCCACTGACCTACGTGGCACTGGTTTCCTGGGACTGATGCATACTCTTTACTTTGTGATGGACCCAGAGACTCTACCGTTGGCTAGAGACATCTACAAGTTATCACAACATCCTACACAGGTATCACCAGTTCATAAAAGAGCTAATGTCTTCCTGCATGCATGTTTTTTTTTTTATCTGTTGGATATTTGTGCTGTGCCTGTGTTCATCATGGACAACTGATTCAGGGATCAGATTTCACTAATCCTTCAGAGACACTGAAACTCCTCCCACACCAGGCGTGCTGCTTTGTAGCCGACCCTGACCTTTGTCCTCCCTGCAGAGGGAACAAGAGCGAAAAAGAGAAAGCCTTCCCCTCGGGGATCAATAAAGTCGGCTACAAGACGAGCATGTTTCAGGACTCGCTCTTGTAGCCTTTGTAAGTTTTCCCTATGGACCTAAATTTCCTTCTGTATTTTCTCTGGTTTAGAACTTTCCATTCAGTGTGATGTCAATCAACATGACCCGCATCGCTCTGCAAGTACTCAGAGAGGAAGCCTTATCCAAGTGAGCCACATTTTTGTTTGACAGCATCTTCTGTAAGTATGAATTTGTCACACCGTATCCCCTCTCACTAATGCCCCTCTGTGTCTCCGGTCATACCAGGGAGTGCAATCGTCGTCAGCAAGTGGTTGGTGTGCTGAATGAGTTCTACGTTGCAACGTACCTGCACCTGTACCAACTGTGGAAGACCCAACAAAAGACCATTGCTGACTCTGGCTTTGTACTAAAAGGTAAAGAAAAAGGTGTATTGCACTTTGAAATCATGCTGGTTCATGATCATTTTATTGTAGGTACATTGTATCCGGGTGAAAATACTGCATATATTGAGGTTTTCTTCTAATATTATTAGTTTATTTTTCTGATTAAACCGTATGATATTGCATCAGTAAAGGGGAACTACACATCAAAGTTTATTTACTTTTTCTTGGGGAAAAAAAAAAAGTTGTTTTAAAGCTTTTCCAGGCTCCAGAGGGAACTGTCTGAAATATTATAAATTGCCTCAGGGTATCGGGGTCAAGTCAGCACTGGTTGGAGCTGAATACTACAAGTTGGGAAAATGAAATAAAAATCTGCGGGTGTGGAGTCAGAAAGCCTGTTCCTCATCTCACCTCATCTCGGCTGAAGAAGATTGAGGCTGTATTAGCTGCTGTTTGCATAACAGACCTGAGTCTCCAACTAAACTGTCAGCGGTTGAGTTTTAAAAGTTTTGGTTCTGCTGCTGTGCTAAATTGGTGGACTATTCTTTGCCAAGTCTCTTAGACAACTGTACGTTCAGTCATGCTGAAATTTAGATGAGTAGATATACCACTCTCATATTTGTCTGTTTTAATATGAAGCTACAGCCAGCACCTGGTTAGCTTAGCATAGCACTAAGATTGGATAGAGAGGGGAACAGCTAGCCTGACTGATGTTACACTTTACAATATGAAGAGCACTTCAATGATATGGGGGGGTATTGAGCTTTAGAGGTGCTGATAGGTGGACTCAGACTAGCTGTTTCCAGTCTCATCCACCTCTCAGCAAGTGTATTTTTTCCAAAATGTTCCTTTAAATCCTGAGTCGTGGCTCTATGTGTTGAACTCAGATTGCAGAAACACGGTTAAACACAGATTGTCGTCCCGGCGTGAGTCCCACAGTCTCTGTGTTTTCTAACCCCTCAGAAGTGGAGCTGTTTGCCAAAAAGAACCCCAAGCAGATGCTGCGCCGACTAGAGGTCTTCCTGAAAGAGAGGCGGGCAGGTGGAATCCCCCGTGGGACGTCGCCAGACCCTCAGGCCCAACAGCCCTCTCCCAGCCTGGGGGAACGAGGGGCCAGAGCCGGGACGGGACAGGGAAGCAAGGGAAAGGAAATGCACTTCACAGGAGTGTGTGATCTACCGCCAGACATGGAGGGAGAGGCCAGACTTATCTAAGCTAGACTCTGTGTGAGTGTGACTGTGTGTGTGGCTCGGGAGCAATCTGTTCTCGCTGAGTATTATCTCTATACGGTATGTGCAAGTGGCTTTACTCTCGAAGAGCTACGACCCACCCACCCCACCCACACACACCACCAGCCCTGATCTAGACTGCTATTGAACACCCATCTCACACACTTCACTTT